ATGTCACATGTAATCAGAGTGGCCTGCTGGTTTTTAGCTCTCTGCTCCAGCCACTCAATTTGCCAATCTGTTCCAGGTGTGCAATCTCCACTGGCCTCTGCTGAGGACACCTGCAGCGTCAGGACTGCCACCAGTCTGCCTACACCGCAGGACCGTGGTGCCCTCGCCCAACCTCCACGCCTCTTACGAGTTATCAGGCATTTTCCTTTCTTACTCCTCCAAAAGTTTTTCATCTCCTGGCTCCCTGCTCCCTAGTCCTCTTCTCTCCAGAGCTAGTTGAGACAGGCTTGTGACCAGCCTGTTAAAGAGGCAGGCCCTTTCTTTTCATTGCAATGCCACACTTCCCAGGGCAAGTAAGCACTCTAGGCAGGGGGTTGGGAGGTATGAGGAGAGCACAGACACAGTTTTCAGAACCACTGCTCCCTCCAGCCCACAGCCCTACCACCTATCTGGCTAATTCCAGGCAGGGCTCTTGCTCTTTCCTGGTGGCTCCTGGGTCCTCTGAAAACCAGAGATGTAGGTTAAATGCCCCTGGTCACCCCCCAAATTATTTCCTGATAGACAAGGGTGTTTTTCTACCCAGGGTACCAGAGGATCTCTGGGTGAGGTTACTTGCTACTAGCCCCAAGCCCTGACCTAATGAACTCTGAGTCCAGATCATTTGTCCCATATCTATAGGGAGTGAGATTTCAAAGCCAAATTAGTTTTATTCTAATGATTAAACATAGTCAGAGTTAAATAACTTTTATTTACCAGTAACAATATTTTCTCAATATATTAATAATTTTACTTCCTGGAAGATACTGTCTTAGCTTTTATTTTCAATCTTTGTTCAACTTGTCAGTGTATTCCTTGTGGTTATTCTTTATGTGCAGAGACAACTGTTATTATACTCCTCTCCCTTTGGCAACCTAATAATTCAAATCTAAAGTAGCCAGGGAGAGTGAATAAAGCTAAGCAATCATCTGCAGTCCTAATGTACTATTTCAGCAAAATAAACCTTTCAGTAGTCACATTTACTATGGAAGTCTTTATTCAAGTTAATATATCAAGTGCAAGTTAATTAGAATCAGATGAAAAAAACAGTCCCTATCACATTTCCATTGTTAAGAAATCCCTCCCTATCTCAAAATTGTAAAGATATTTTACATTTTCTTCTAAAAATACTTTTACGTTTTGTACTTTTACATTTAAGTGTTTGCTTCATTTGAATTTATATTTGTGTATATGATATGGGGGCCCATTTTCTTTTTTCTTTTCTTTCATATTAAATGACTGCCCAAGCACCGTTTACCAAACCATCCACTCTTTCCCTCACTGATCTGCTATACTAGCTCCTTTACATATACCAAGTTTATATATGTGAGTCTTTGGGGCTTTTCCTTCCATTCCACAGGTGAGTCTATCTCCAGGACAATTCTGCACTAAAGATTTGTCATCAACTTTGACATGTGGTAGAACAAATGCCTTCCTTTCCTCTGACCTGGTTCTTGAGCAGTATTTGGCTCTTCAAAGTCCTTTGTACTTAAATATACATTTCAGAATCCATTTTCCAATTTCCAGGGAAAAATACACTGTGATTTTAATTAAAATCACATTGAGTCTATAGATCAATTGACAGAACATCTTTATGACAATGAATTTTCCTTTTCAATGTTTTATTTCTTTCAATAAGTTTTATTACTATACTTTTTTTTGCTCAGATTTATTCCTAGGTATGTGACTTTTTAAAAGCTACTCTAAATATCTTTCTTCCTCCAGTTTTAACCGTAGTTTCTGACTGTTGATAATACACAGAAACGTAATTGGCTGATATTATATATAGCAGCCTTGCCAAACTTTCCTACTTACTCTAATAATTTCTATGGGTTTTCTATGTAGACAATCATGTCATCTGTGGATAACGACAATTTTGTTCATTTCTAAATTTTGTGTAGGTGTGTGATGTCTCTGGCTATGGCCTACAAATAATACTGAATAAAAAAGATGAGAGTCTGCTTGCATTATTTCAGGACAGGGAGAAAATCAAAAAGAAAAAAATTTTAAAAAAAGATGAGAGCAGGCATCATGCCTAATTTCCGATATATTATTCCTGATATGCCTGCTCTAATCTCATTATCAAGCGGTTTGTTTGTTGTAACTTTTAACCAAATTAAAGAGGTTCTCTTCTATTTGTGATTTGCTAAGATATTTATTAATCATGAATGACTGTTTAATTTTATTAAAATTATTTTATCTATTAGGTTGATCATACGGTTTTCTCCTTTACTCTTAATGTTATCAATATAGTGAATAACATTTACAGAATCATAACATGGATCTAAAACCATTTTCAGGTTCTAATTTGTTCTACATTAGTATCTTTTACACTGTATCTAGTGACATGGTTGAAATAAACATCTTTACCTAATATAAAAACTTGGGCAAAACTACTAACAGGTTAGATGATCAAAGCTCAGAATAAATTTAACAAATTAGGTCCAAGTGTAGAGAACTGCTCCCATGGAACATGACCAAGACAGCAATAAGTCCATAAATATAAACCTGATTACAGCACGGTGTCAGCTCATTTTCCACAAAGCAACTTGATATTTTCTGGAAAAAAGTGCCACCAAAATGAAGATAGTAAGATTGTAACAGCTTCCACATGAAACTTCTGTGCATACATGGTTTCACGGCTAAAAAAAAAAAAAATGGCTGAAAACCCTTGCTCTATTTTATCAGCAAATTAGTTAAGCTGGGATTTAATACTTTCCATGGGAACTATAATTTGTAAGATTCTCTCTCTTTAAAGAAAAAAGTTATAATCCATGTACTTCCCATGTCTCCCTTTCTAAATAAATGTAAGTGTGTATTTCCCAGAGGGTTACTGGTGGTATGGGTTGAGGGGGAAATGCAAAATTTTTATGGGAAAGTTACATAAGCAGTAAGTAATTTATTTTTCAATATTAAAGAAAATATATGACAAGGTCAAATACAATCTTCACATGAATTTTAAAGATAAGACACAAGACTTCAAATATACTTCTTGGCTACTTCAGGTCAATCACCCAAATCCTATAGCAACATATGCCTATTTTTCTAAAACATCACCAAAACTACTATCAATACAATAATTATCTATTATAAACACAGATTACCCATAGTGCAATTTAGGGTACAGGTAAGAGGGATTTGAATACTTTTTTTTCCTATTCTAAAATTAAACTTTTTAATTATATGTGGCATATGCTCTATTTAGAGAAGAACTTTATGGGAAAAAAAGACAGGCTTTTAAAAAACTCCCATGAAAGCTACTTTTTAAAAATAGGAAATTGTGATGTTTTCCCATATATTGGGCTGTTGACAATTTCCTGAGTTTTCCCCATTTGCTCTGAATAACTGAAGAATGTTGCATTACATCTGCAAGTTTAGTAAGCTGCATGTTCTTTACTAGTTTCACTTTTCTGGTTAGGTCACCACCTGTTGCATTTCTTTGTATTCTTCCTTACTGACATGTCCTAATTTCTTTTGAACAACTTCATCTTAACTTTCACATTTGTACCACTCTGGGTTTGAGTTAGAACACAGAATAGAGGAATATGGGATAATATAATTCTGTCCAATGCAAAATAGCCACTGTCATGATTATAGCACACTCATAAAAGGGCAACTGGACCCTGGGAAGCAGTAAAGAAACCTCCCCAGCCACAGCATACGGCAGCATCTAAGCGCAGTGCTCATTCTGATATTGATAATTACATTGAATATGTCTGTACTTCTTTGAACTTTCCAAAGATTTCACCTGTGTTCCCACCAGACTGGCATGATATATGTGTTAAGTAAGTTAAAGGTTGTCTTCTCTTTAGAGACTGGTAGACCTGCCAGGTTTACTGTTAGGTATTTTCATGTCCTGGACAGAATTTAGTCCTGAACTCAAAGAAACTGATAGCAACTGCAGAGGGATTCAGAAAAGACACTTGCTGCTAGCCACATAATTTGCAATGGTAAACTCCGTCAAGGGATAAGCATTAATAAGCATGTTTACAGGACAACATCTAACCCAACAAAAAGCTGTTTTTACCTAATTACTTAAAACTCACTGATCTTTTAGAAGTACAAATTGAGAAATTTTTGTTAATAAGGGGAAAAAAACACATAAATCAGAGAAATGATGCATACATTTTTTCCAGAATAGTTGAGACCAGCTGTGGCCAGAATCATGGTGCAGAAATGGGGTTAGGGTTACACAATCTACAAATATCCAACAAACAACTATTTTGTAAAAATTAACCATTAATAATTCCTTGCCCAAAAAGTGAATTTAACAATGACAATGGGATATATCCTTCACTGATAGTTTTACAAAATATTTTACTATATGAATACAAGCATGTTTATAGGCCACTGCGTCTGTAAACTTGTGCTGAAACCAGAGAACTATGGTGTCTATTACGTCTCATTAATTTGGGACAACCTCCAGGACTAAACCAGCAAGGACATAAAAACATATTAACATTATTAGACAGTATAAAATGGATATGTTCAGCAAACCCTGGGTCTTAATAGAAGTCTTTGTTTAAATTTGTGTCAACAGGCTGGCAATATTACCATTCATTCTTAACAAAACAAACTAGAAGATCAAATGACCAGAAACTAAAATAGCATTGGGAGGCAGAGTCATAAAAGATGTATGATGAGAAGGGGAGCACAGCGTCAGTTTCAATAGGTCGTTCTGAATAACCTTTCTAAATCACCAACTAAAGGATTTATACATACCCCTAAAAACATGGTTGCTAAACCCGAGTTTTGTGCTTTGTTCCTACAATTACAGATGATATTCTCTTAAATAGACAAAGGAAAAAGTGCTTAAGTTAAATCCTTTCTTCGAGGGGATATAGCAACACAACTCCCCAATACAGAGGGGGAAAAAAGGAAGGGAAGGCATACGTGTGCTCGTGAACTCAAATTTACTTTATCATAAAAAAGACAGCAGTGACAACTGTTAAAGACTGTCCTACCTGTGTTTTTTGATGCCATTGGAGAGAGCATCTCCACCACCACAATCTTTTCCTTCGGACATTCTGTGTCTTCTACTGCTCAAATGTTCTCCTTCCTCTTCAAAGGAGTGTGCGGTCACTGCCTCCAATCTACTCAGGGACTGCTCGGACTCGGAATCTGTGGCAGAGCAGGTTCCTAGTTAATGAATTGAACTTGGGTACGAGGCTTCAGTAACAATGGATACCTCCCTTAATGCACCAGGCTTTGAAACTTAAGCAGCCTACTTTGTTCTTCAACAATCCATCCGTTAACTACCTCCTTAGGGATTTCAGAGAACCTGCACCCAAGAAGGCTAAAGTGGATTTATGAAACAGATGTACACTTATATGAGCTTACAATTAAACAGATCTTATATAGGAAAAGAGATCTCCAGAGATTACCCAATTCTTTAAGAAATCATATTCATTGGTTGCCCCCCAAATTTCCATTTTTATCTTCCCTCAAAGAGCATCTTAAGCATAACTTCTAAAAAGACCATTCAATTTTTAAAACTCATGAATAATGAAAAAGCTATAGGAGCTGTCCTTATGAGAAGTTTAAATTACATCCAATATTACAGACACAAAAGCAAAGGTAAAGGATGATACTATTAAAATCCTCAAAGCAAAAGCCTAAAGTGTCCACATACTAATTGTCAGGCAGGCATCTTGAGGATGGAAATGCCACATTCCCAACTGGCTATTTATTCAGAGTGGTGCCATCTGCCTGTTTGGAAATAATACGACAACTCATTTTTGTACAATACATTAAGTTTTCAAGCACTCTCACATTCTTCATCTCTTCTGAGCATCCCAAGGATGCTCTGGTGAAGGTGAGGCAGGACTGTTTGGTTATTAACGAGTGTGCTGATGGTCTCATGGCTTGTGAGTAGGGGAACCAGGATTTGAACCCAGGCTTTCTCACCCCTTGTTTAATGCTTTATGCATTTTAGCTTAAAACAGCAGTCACTGAATCTCCATAAAACTTTAAATGGTGCCTGAGTTTTAACTAAAATAGAAATTCAAGATAACCTATAACTTCCCATTTGAAGCAGATGATGATCCACTCACTTGCTCCAGCTCTAGGAGAGACTCTGACACACAGCCAAGCAAATTTCCTTAGATACATTTATTGACAATCTGCTAAGTATGCATTACAGCTAAAGTGCTCAGCAAAGAAAATATTTTAGTGCTTTCTTTCCCCACTACTGTATTCTATAATTCAGCAAAAATCATGGAACCTTATTATTGTATTAGGTTGATTCAGAAGAACAACTGTTAGACAATACACCTTGCAGGTTGGACAATACGTCTTGGTCTCTGAGCTAGACCCTTTGAATGAGTTACTTGCAGACTTTCAATGCTGGGAAAGTTATTTTTCTGTAAACAGAACTTTAATGGAATTTCTGAAAAATATAGCTTTGTTCTGTCATGTACCTTATAACGAAGAAACAGATATTTTAATAATAAACTTAAAGAGACATTTATTTTTCATTGTCAATCTTGGCAGACAGAAATAAACTTTTATTGAAACAAATGACAGACAACCTGAATAGCCAATAAGAAAGGGACAGTCACCTGTTAGATGAAATAAGCAGTTGATAAAATTATATATACAGGCTGGGTACAGTGGCTCATGCCTGTAACCCTAGCACTCTGAGAGGCCAAGGCAAGAGGATTACTTGAGCTCAGGAGTTTGACACCAGCAAGAGTGAGACCCCATCTCTACTAAAAATAGAAAAATTAGCAGAGCATCGTGGCACATGCCTGTAGTCCCAGCTACTCGGGAGGCTGAGGCAGGAGGATCACTTGAACCCAGGAGTTTGAGGTTGCAGTGAACTAGGATGATGCCACTGCACTCTAGCTGGCGTGATAGAGTGAGACTCTGTCTCAAAGAAAAAAAAAATTATATTTACAGAAAAAATTTAATAAAATAGAAAATTGCTTTTAACATAATGCTAAGTCAAAAAATCAGGGTACCATTTTAAAACTCTAGAATACAAGCAAAGAAATTTTTCTCTGCATTAAAGAAAGACCAATCTGGTTCAGGTAAGCAGAGATATAAACAAACAAAAGCAGTAAAATGACAGATGTTTGTTCAGGGCGTGTGAGGCAAAGAAGGAGTCAATCCATTCTTTGGAGTAAGCAGAGGGATGTCAGGAAAGGCTAGAAAGGAGAGATGGTGCTGACTGATGGCAAATCCTGAAAAACTGAAAGTGCTGCTCAGGCAAAGGTGAGTGAGGTGTCCCAGGAGAGCAGCAGGAACACAACCTGAATCAAGGATAAAAACCGCAGTCTTGGGGTGGTGGGTCGGGGGCGATTTTTTTACTTCTACATTTTAAAATTTGTTTCATATAAAAGACAACTAAGAATTTAAAAAGTCAAACACAATAATTACGTCTGTATTGGTTAGTATTATTTAAGATGCATTGTTAGTTTGTAATTTAGACATTATGAAAGCCAAAAAACAATGAAGCAAAAAGTCTCAAGCATTTACGAAATAGGACTATGACTACGCATGGTTATATTATGTTCACAATTTAAGAGATATAAAATCAAAAGAGTGGGACTTGTTTGCCTAAAAAGAAATTTAACAAAAAGCAGATACATAGTAAAACACTAAAGAAGCAGCAGTATGAGCGTCTATGGAGCAAAGACAGACTTTTCCCAAAACAAGATTTCAACTTAGTGAATACACAAGCTGAAGGCCTGCTACCTTCATCTGCATCGGTCCCTTCAAGAACAGACAGCAGGACAGACCCTTGTCCTCCACAATGCCTGACTCACTTCCTGGCCCCCCCTCCTTTTCCATTGCTGTCTCCCTGTTCCTCCACCTCTTTCCTCTCCCACCTTCCTTACTCCTGTCTACCTCGTCCCCAAAGCCCTCCTTGCTCTAATGTAATCAGGCTATGCTCACCCCTTCCCCGATGGCTCTGACAAAGGTCACTGATTACCCCTATATTGCAAAGTCCAACGGTCATTTTTCAATTGTCATGTTGACTCATCTACCATATCTGACGCCACTTCATTTGTTCCTCCTTCCTTACATAACCTGTGAGGCTTGTGGATTCAAAGAACTATGAGATCTAGTTAGTCCCTGCCCATGGGCTAGCAGAGCTTCTGTGAACAAATGAGTTCAGTAAATTTTCCTATGTGCAATAACAGAAGTCTGAATGGGGGCAGAGGCCAAAAAGGAGGCACCAGTCAACTTTATAGAGTGGAGGACAGAGGTCAGGAAAGGGCAGTGGCTGATGATGGAGCCGAGTACACTGACCAGGAGTTAGAGTCGGGAGGAGGAAAGAGTTACAACACGGGGACTGTTCCAAGCAGCAGGAGTAGCACAGTCCAATGCAGAGAGGAACGAAGCACTCAATGAAGTGGCAGTGGAAGACACCAAATGGGAGAGGAATGAGGCTATGAGTCAGCTGTGAAAAGCAAATAAAAGATGAATAAAAACCAAGGACAGGCAGTGAGACAAAGAGAACATAAAATGAGTCAAGGAATGAGGTAGTATCCCAACACATGCCATGAGGTTCTGTACACTCACTAGAGGTAAGTCATGACCTCCGAGCCTTGTAGCTTCAAAGACAAAGAAGGAAATGTGATCAATTACATGACTGATAGTGCCCATGGGATAAAAACTAGTTCCCTAAAAACAAAAGTTCAGTTATTTCCAGTACTATGAACCGAGAGATATCAAATACATGTACTGTGACAGAAAGACAAATCTCGCATGTTCTCACTCACATGTGAGAGCTAAATGTTAAAAAAAATTGATCTCACAGAGACAGAGAGTAGAATTATGGTAAGGAGAGGCTGGGAAGGGTACAGGGGAGGGAGGGACGGTGGGGATGGTTAATGGCTACAAATATACAGAATGAACAATATTTGATAGCACAACAAAGTGACTGTAATCAACAATAAGTTAGAGTAGACTTTAACAAGGAGTGAAACTGCAACGTTCCTAACACAAAGAAATGATAAATGCCTGAGGTGATGATACCCCAATGATCCAGATTTGATTAATTCACATTGTATGCCTGTATCAAAACATCGCATGTACCCTATAAAGATATACATTATGTACCCATATTAATTAAACATTTAAAAACATTTTTAAAAATACATGTAGTAGGAAAGAGTTTGGATTTGCCTTCTTGGAACAGGGAAGCATCCTTAATAGCTTTTACCTTCACAGCCTTGGTCACACCAGTCTGTCCATCTACAATACAGCACCGTTGACCGCAGAAGCCCACAGGTCTAGAGATATTTAAATTCACACACATTTAGCTAATACCCAAGAGGACAAGCGACTGTGGAGGTTTACTGATCAAGGTCAAAGCCTATCCACAGAAGTAACCCTCAAGTCCCTCTGCAAAGTAAATCAGTGCTAGATCTCAGTGCCCCCGAGGTGATTCGATCTTACAACTGTGGGCTCGTCAATTTTGCCCACACATATCAAATGTGCCAGGCCTTATCTGCTATCCAATGTTCCTGGTCAATTTATTAATGCCTCAATGGGAAGCATAAAGTATTGGGAAGAATGAGTTTCATGCCTCCTCTGTGCTGGTTACAGTGCTCCCTGACAATAGCATAGGCCCTAATCCTCATGCTTTCAAACTAAACAAGGGAAAAAAAAAAAAAAAAGAAACAAACAAACAAGGGGAGGGATGAATGGGGAGTCGGTGCTTAATGGGTATGGAGTTTCAGCCTAGGGTGACAAAAAAGTTCTAGAGACGATGGTGGTGATGGATGCAGTTCATCCCACCGAACTGTATGCTTAAAAATGGCTAAGATGGTAAACTTTATGTCATATATATTTTACCATAATAAAAATAACAATAAAACAAAAACAAAAATGCAAGCATACAAAAACCTGTCAATCAAAAGCCAAAGAGCTATCATGTTGGCTGCATGAACTATTAGGTTATTAAGTATGAAATGTCCAATTTCCTTAAGTACTAAGTTTGACAGCTGATATCTCTGACATTTCACTTTCATAGTTCTTGGTTTTTGTGTTTTTGGTTTTTTGGGGTTTTTTTTGTGAAGGTACATCTTCATTCTTTCAAATGCATGTTTTGGCTTGTGATTATCTTTCAAAAATTTTTTTTTTTTAGATCAATTTTTGTCAAACCATGG